CACTACAATAATTCAGGCAATTTGATTCGTCCGGCATTACTCATAATAATAAAAACATTTGCATTGCATACAATATTCGAATGCATTGCAATAGGTTAGTAACGTTATGAAATAATAACAATGGCCAAAGTATTAAGCGAGCTAAAAAGATAATATAGCCCCTACCTGAATATTTTTACGAATATTTTTAATATAATTTATTAATTACTATATTTTCGGGTGTGATTTAAATGTCTGTATTGCCTTACATTGCTTTGGAATATATTTTTCTCTATGTTTCTTGCATTTGATTCGACTAGAGTTAGCCGTCAAATGGTAGGTACGATGTCATATGTTACACATCATAGACGCCAACTGTAACTATCGTTGATTTATTTACATATAGAACTAAGTATATAAGATTACACCAGTTTATTTACAACTATACAACTAACTGACGAGAATACACAACTCGTGAAAATTTCATACATTCAATTCCTAAAAGATTTGCTTAATAGTAGGAAACTTCTATCTTATAAACTAAAACCCCCTTTCTAAAGAAAGGCTTTGTCCAGCAGTGGACTGTTAAGGGGCGTTAGTGATGATCTACAAATAGGAAAGTCTGCCTTTAGCCAAGTGGGTACTTCGCATATAGTTACCTCTAGAATCATCTCATTGTTTTATTGAACCTGTTGATTACTCTCGTTAGGAGGCCTCGCTGACCCTATTTTACTTAATGTCGGTGGCTCATGAGTCCGATGACTCACTTACTTGTCATTAACTTGTTAAAAACTAACCAACGACCTTGCCTTAATGTTATCTTCCTGTTTTTGTATAGGGCAGTCTTTGTTTGCTTTGTGCCGGCTGATATATTTCGGACGGTGTGCGGTCAAAGGCGAATTGGTTAACCCGTATTTTAGTAACAGCTTTGACCGCTAGTATAGTGGGCGTTCTTGATAGTTAGTTATATTATTCTCTGCTTAGCAATTTTTGAGTTGATGTTGAGTCCTTAACTGGCTAAAACACCGGACTTAAGATTGAGTGGTTATTGTTTTGAAACCTTTATGACTGTGCTATGGATATGACCTCAGTTCTAATGTAAGCATTTATCTTAATGAGAGGATACCAAGGAACGGAATTATTTCAATAATGCTTACTAGAAAGAACACTACTTAAATAACATTTCCAACAGAAATCTAATAACAGTTGTTGGCAATCTTATTGCCATTCCGCAAAAGACGTTACTGCTGGAAGTAACGTCTTTTGCGGAATGACAACAAAAAGCCCCTTCGCGGCTAGCCCTAATGTGGGCGAAGGGCATGCCCATTTACAAATTTTACGACCAATCTGTACTAACGTTCTTTAAACACGCTAACCGATTATTAAAAGCAAATGTCACTTTATCACCAAGATACCTCGTTATTTATGAATTCACTCATTGTGGACTGCTAAGAATGCTTCAGACCCCAAATATCAAGTTTAAAAACTGTTATATAGATGTAGGTATATGACAGAATTATATATAAACAATATTATAATAATTATGTCTTTGTGTACACCCAGTTCACTAGTAAAATGATAAATAATAAAATTAATTGTTAAATCAACTATCCAAACACTAAAATCTTTTTTTTACCTTTTAATCTTACATAACTAAGTACGTACTTATCTACCGTGAGGAATTCCCGGAATATGTTATTAAATTGTATATTAAAATATTTATTTTCAATTAATAAGTAACAATAACAGTTGCGCTTTATAATATTGCGTTGTTTATATTTTTAAAAGCTTATAATTATGAATCTGAAAGTACTATCAACATTGAAAGACCCTGAAGTTTATCAATGTTTACGCTATAAATATACTACCATATTTTTATATTTACTGATATTGCAACCAAGGACAATCGAAATAATACAAATACAAGAGAAATACGATGTTGTTGATTGTTATTTATACATAACAAGCGTTACATATTTTAAGTGGGGAAAATTTAATAATAGATTAATTTGTATGTATCTGCTAATGGCATTTACATAAGTATTTACACAGTGTTGGGATGGTCTTCTTGACCCTGATTAATATCTCTTCTTACTGAGCTTTTAATATACTCAAAATTTTCCCAAATCTATTTTCCCTAAGGCCAGGGCGAAGGCAATAGGCATAGGCATAGGCAATTTGGTCTTATTGTGTAAATAGGACCAAATTATGGCTGACAAATTTGATTATTAAGCATACTTCTAATTATCGCTTGGAAGGTACTGGCGTGTAAGTTCATACGTGTTTGTTGCCGATATTTGTGATCTGTATGTGGCGATGTGTATATATATATGTTATTTTCTATAAAGTATAGGTAAATTGCTAAATTTCTGGTTTAAAATTTAATGTAACCAAAATTCAGCTACTTCCTGTTTTCTTTGGTTCACTGAATTGTGGTCTGGTAGAGAATGCCCTAAAAGTCCGCCTATGCACCAAATGAATATGATATATCAATAAATAAATAAATTTAACAAAAAATGTAGTGTCGTATTATAAACTTTTTCACTACATCGCTGGTTAAAAGACACCACTGCCCAACATGCTTCTATGAGCAGATGTGTTCTGATAATACAAAAATAGCTAACAATGAATGGGGCCGTGTACCGATAACACAACCCCCGTCTTCAGCGCGACGCATCCAATTAAGAGATTATCTAAATAACTATTTGTGTGAAGTATTGTGGGATATGGTGTGGTGCCTTAGTTTTAACTCACCAAACAAGTTTATATAACAAACATTGGATTTTTTTATGGTACGGGTTGGCAAACGAGCAGACGGGTAACCTGATGGTAAGTGACTCCCACCGCCCATGGACACCTGCAACTCTCGAGTCTCAAGTGCACTGCCAATTACACATTGTTGAACATTCGGCGGGTCTGTTGGTCTAGTGGTTAGTGACCCTGACTGCTAAGTCGGAGGTCGTGGGTTCGTTTCCCACCAAGGACAAATATTGTGTGATGAGCACAGTCATTTGTACTGTGTCTGGGTGTAATTAATCTATAATATGTATGTATTTAAAAATATATAAGTAATTATGTTTATCAGCAGTCTGGTTCCCATAGCACAGGCTCTGCCTAGTTTGGGATCAGACGGCCGTGTGTAAGATATATTTAAAAAAAAATTAAAACATAATCGATGAAAATCAAGATCCCTGTGTTATGATTTTGGTCATTAAAAAAAATGCAGCAGGTTGTACCATAAATTAGAGGAGACTAAGCACTTTTTTCCAGAACACTATTATTAACAAGTACAACTGGTCGTGTGTTAGAGAGACTTAGAGAGAGAGAGAGAGAGAGAGAGAGAATAAATTTATACAGACAAATAAAATAATTAATGAAACTATTGTCGAAGATCTATTTAAATCAAAACATGTGGTCTACTAAATAAATCATAATATTATTATTATGTGAAAGAATCTAACAAGTCTTAACGCAAACATCTGTTTGAAACATCAGTATGTAAAACAGACAGCAGTTGTATATCACTCTGGACGTTAGAAGCCTGACAGCTAGATAAGAACAGGAAATGTAACATTTGGGTTTCCCTTATCACTAGAATGCATAGCGGAACAATTGCAATATCAGAAGAGATAATGCAGCTGTGTTGATACCATAGTTTTTTTATTACCATAGTGAATTGATATATTTTATTTATATTGTTGGTATTTCACAATACTGTAGAGTTTCTTATAAGAATAAATTTGTAATTCGTAGTGGTAGAATATATTTACAAATGGTTCCTGCAAATCGAAAGGTAGGGAGAAGGAGGAGTCTGTTTGGGTGTTTATATTAGAATGCTTTACTGCGATAAGACACCAAGCGACAAACATAATGGTGTAATTTGCATTATTATTAATATTATTCTTTGCTATTTTTGGTGTTTAAAACTATTTTTTGTAATTTTTTTAGATTATTTTAGGGCATCTCACACACAACACCATCTGGTTTCAAACTAAGCAGAGCTTATACTATGAAAGCTAGATTGAGTGATAGAATACTTGTATACTTTTTTTGTAAATACATACATATACATAAATACATACATAGAAAGCAAAATATTTGCAGATCATACAAACATTTGGTCCGAACTGGGAATCGAAACCAACACCTCAGCACAGCAGTCGCATACGCTACTACTGCACCATGGAGGCAGTATATTATGCTTGCCGAAAGAGGAAAATTATTATTGCTAAATAAGACACAATTAGATATCCCTCCCATATCACTGCTAAGAGTCACACAAACATTAAACTATGGTCTTAAAAAAGTGTTGGCAGATGTGTTGTTGTTACAGTTCACAATTCAGAAAAAAAGTTTAAGAAGGAAGGAAAAGTTTAGGCAGGAAGAAAAAGGTTATTGAAGGGTTAAGAGTCAAATTTAAATAAAGAAAATAATTTATTATTATTATTTTCTTGGGTTTTTCGATGTCTGAAAATATTGTGTAACAGTTATGAAATTAAATATAGGGAAAATATGGGATTAGCTTTGCTTGAACTGGTAACATATAAATCTTTGGCTTTATTTTTGAGCACAGTTCAGAAGCAGTTTTTAGATAGGTTGCTCTGATGAATTTGTACAATGGATTGAAAAACTTTTACTTGTTCTTATTTTAAAACAGAAGTCTGATGCTTTAAAGGACAAAGGCTGTACCAACATTTTAAATATAGAAGATATTGGTATTGGAAGGTTGGTATTATTAAAACTTATATTATTATTAATAACACCATGTTCTGCTATACAAAAGATAGTCAGTCATAAAAGCTAATAAGTTAGTTAAATTACGAAACATTCAATAAGAATGCATATTTTTTGTTTTAAAACATGTAGATATTAGGTTTACGCCTGATATTGCTTCTTTAATTCAATGTTTAAAAATTTTGATACACATCATCGTATCAAAGTTACGTCTGCCGTTCACACCGTAAACAATCGCGTGTTTGTAAACATTTAGCCGGCAAAATTTTGTCTATGACTAAACTCACCAGAACTTTGACGAAACGGTTCTCCAGCTCGTCGCGGTCTGGCATCGGAGGCTTTGTACGGTTCCTAGTCGACGGCTGCCGTACATGGTGACTCTTCACAGACGCCACCGGTCCGTCCAACATTGTCTGCTCCCTTGAAGTTATCAAACCCATTTTACACTAACACTCAACACCGACCACTAACATTTTCGAACGACATCATGTCATTTTTTCACAGATAAAATGCACAATAACACGATGAGTAATAAATCAACAGGTCACATTACACGGACGTTGCGGCAAGGCGCAAAACAAGTTCGTCGGCAACTGCGGTCTACGACAAAGCGAACTCTAGCGAAGGGCGAAGGCCGTATCAAACGTATGAACTGTCAATGAAATGAAGTTGGCAGTGTTGCCAACAGTGAAATTAACTCTCCACCAGATTTGATACCTATAGCCACAAGAAAACCATTAATGAAAATCGTCCTACTATAATGTTCGCTACATTTTTTACTAAACATTTTTTAGTCATTACGAAAGAGAACAAAGTGTATTAAAAATTTATTTCCTTTATTACTATGTAAAATTAACACTTACAATCAATAAATCAATATTCAAATAGTAAATTAACAAGTCTAGACCAGGAACATTAAAAGTTATTCAATAACAACAGTTACTTTTTTTAAATAATTCATCTACTGTTCATCATTGTCGGTTTTATTTTAATACGATTCTTTGGTACCGATTTGTTTGACAAAGTTTATTAGAATTGCAATATTGCGTTGCAAAATTTGCCTTCCAACCTCGTTTGAAGTTTTAGCTCCTAGTTATCCTTAACTTAACATAGCAGATAAAAGATTTATCTTCATTCTATTAATTTGTTTGTTTTTATTTCATTCATACTTCTAAAATTTAGAAGATGCCGATGTTGAAAGACTATTTAATAGTCTCTCAACATGGGCCTTGGAATCAGGAATCAGATTTAAGAGAGTAAAGATAGCATTCGGTTCTTAATCTCGAATTGCCTTGGACATCTTAGAGGCGCAAGTGCACTTCCACATACTAGAAGTATCTGGTATATGGAAGTTGCTTAACTCGTTGGACATTGGTAGGCAACAAAGGACCGAGTTTCGAACAAACATTGGTTTGAATGATATCAATCTTCAATTCTCTTTTGCCACTCAACTCGATCATCAAACCAAGAGTCGGACTCTGACCTATATCGCAGGTCTGCCCAGGCCCAATATTGTCAACTTATAATTTTCTTCTGGGGAATTCACATAGATTATCCTGCCTGTCAGTTTTAACGCATTGGGTGGTGGTAACGTTAGCCGTAGGATGAAAGTTATCATACTGTTGCTATTACGTTCTCGAAGTTATATCCCAGATCCTTAACTTCTCTCTCGACTCTGGAATCTTCCCCTCTCTCTCATTCACAAAGCCTACATCATCCCACTGCCTAAAACTAATAAGCTTCTCTTCCTGAGAACTCCCGTCCAATCTCTATCCTTCTTTTCCTATCAAAGGGTCTAGAGGTTTGAAAGATCTCCAGGTCATTTTTCAAAATCAACTCCTTAGTCCTTTACATCTTAACATTCTCACTATTACTAATAAACCACTAGAGGAATCCACTAGTCACCATAAAAGTTTCAGTGGAAAATTTACTAGGTTGGCAGCACTGGTCAAGTTAGCAAAAGTTAAACGACAGCTATCCATCCAATCAGAAACAAAGCGCATTCAGAAACGCGAAACAGAAGAATATAGGAAACGTTTTTTACATAACGTCGACTTTTTTTTAACTTCGTCTTCGTCTATTGTTTAAGTTAGTTTTATGTACGATTAAGTAAAAATAATAATAAAATGAAAACGGGGCAGCCTACTATTTATAAAATGAATCTCTTTTTGTAGAGAATTTTAATTGAATATTTTGAACAATAAGAAGATCTGTCAAATGTTGGTGTTGCCAAGTATCTCTAAAATGTATTGGATATGCCACACTGTACAGGACTTACGCACTTTATATACTGTTCAGCAAAGTGGCGTGTCAAAGGATTTTGAAATTGATTTCTTTTAAGTAAATACATAAATTAGTAATACTTTTTGATAGACTATATGTCGTTGACTATATCGCACCCTTAATCCAATAGTGACACAATCCAATTAATGCAACTTTTCACGAAAGCCATAAAACACTTTTTCATGTAGGAATATAAGTAATACGTGAGAATCCACCCGTAATTTCATTACTCTTTGATATCGTAATTATGGATAAATATTGTATCTCCCCATTGAGCACTTTTCTTCTCAAAATTAATGTATATTTTTATTGTTATTTATTTGTCACTTTTCCTTTCATTTTTTTTATATAAAGCCTTACTTACTACAAGAATACTTTACAGGAATTCTCACACAACAAATACGAGAAAAGTTTTGTTCAGATACAAAATTTAAATATTGCTTATAATAAAATTACTAACGCAAACAATATCAAAGAATACAAAAAAATGATTCATCACTTTTTGTAAAACTTTATGATGATAAAAAGTTTTAAACATCTTGACCTGAAAATTTAACTGTAGTTACAGGACTACAACACTGACAACATATCCGACTTTTAACTCTCTACCTCTTCTCCAACGCGAGTTATCAATTTTTCAAGTTTGACAAAAAAATTGTTTTTTTTTAAACAAATTTTGGGCGATCTGATGGTCCGAGTTTATTCTCCAGGAGGTTATTTTCTTGGTTTTTTATTGCGCACATTCGTTACATTCAACTTATTTTTGTAGGATCTTTAGTTTTCCCTCCAGATGCGAAAAAACAGTTTTTTACCATTTTCGATTTTTTTTTGGCACTTAATTCCAATTAATTCCTGACGGTTAAATCTTTAATAAAAAAAAAGCCACGCCAATAGGAAGCTAATTCTACCTGTCTATGCTAATACATATATTTAGCTTTATCCTTGTCTATCATATTTTCTAGTAAAGAGAATCCCATGAGAGATTTGTATTGAAAACTGAGCGATATTACTAGTCTATTCGACAAACTAAGTGGAATCAACGGTTCGGAAGAAAAATAAAAAAAAAAGGTAGGAAAACCATTTAGTCATAATTGAAATCAGAGGACGTCATTGGAGAATTTTCTAATAAATGATAATAGAAATTATAATGACAGCCCTCCCGGGAATACAATGGTCGAGTCATTTGCGAAAACCCCTCTGATTAATGTAATGATTTGTAATGGAGTGAGACATCATTGACTGTGCCCGCCCAATGATGTCATATTATCGTCACTTCAAGAACTTCTAGTAGAGTCGGGTAGTTTCTAGTAACTAGAAACTTCCCGACACTTCAAGTAGAGTAGGCTACTTGTTTTCAGTGTTATGAATGATATACTTAATCAGAATCAAATAAGAATCAAATAATTTTAAAAGGTGCATTTTGACAGTCGTAGTTTAGGGTTGCGGAGTCTACAAATCGATAGTAAGAGTAATCGATTCATATAATAAATGAACGCATTTAATGATCGAAACATCGTTAATCGTTTTTAAATAGGAATACTTGTACTATTAATTTACTCTGTTTTTCCTAAGAATTATGTGCTGTGTTGAGTGTGTTCCATAAATATAGCTCACATGGAGTATATACGTGTCACTGAAACTGGTTTGGCCACAATCATGGATTTTAATTTAGAAAACAGAGAGAGGTCGCTAATTAGTCAAAGTCGCCAAATATCAGAATTTGTCGATCACTGGTTCATAAGTTATAAGCGTTAATAGGTTGCTGACTCCAGGTTGCTGAAGCCACGTTTATAACTCAAAAAGTAAGGCAGATAGCAAAGATCTGTTTGATTCTGTCTGATCTGGGGAGATTGACCCTAGCAGGGGCACCTATAAACATTTATACCCTTTAAACTAGTGACCGACAAATTCTGATATTTGGCGATAAATTAAGACTACTCGTATTTATCGACTAATGATGTCAGTGACACAGTACGAGTATATACGACGGAAAGTAGCGTCACTGGATGAAAAGTTAAGAAAGAATCGATTAAAATGTCATCATCATCATCATCAACAGCCTTTAATAGTCCACTGCTGAACATAGGCCTCTCCTTAGAAAGGAGGTTTTGGCCTACTATACCACGCTGGCCAGACGGGTTGATATAGGGTTTGGGTCAAGTTTTCCTTCTTTTAGCAGTGCTGGTGTCCTGCGTTGTTTTGCGCCCTTAGTCGGCTCTTACGATACCCACGGGATGAATTGGGGTAGTGACATTCCGTATTCTTAATCCGTCACTACACGGACGGATTAAAATGTAACAACACTAAAAATGACTGTTTTAGGAGGTCTGGCAGAAATAAAAAAAATCAAACCGTAGTTTGTTACTTCTAGAAATTTAAAGCGAAATATGTCGCATTGTATGTATTCCTTTAACTCAGTAGTGTAAATTGTTACTTAATAAAATTAGAATTGTTTTATGTTTCTTTAAAATCGTCTGAATTTACATTCTGTGACTAGTTTATCTTTCAAAATGCACCTCTTAATACAATACAATATCAATTTTAACGGGCGGGCGTTTCTATTCCGAAATGAGAACATATTATTCCCGCGTTCTATTACCGTTCAGTAGGAGAACGAGTAGTAACTTTCATTTTAAATCCTGATGCTCACTGCTTTAGACTAATAATGTCCTCTTAATACACATTAGAAAATACATGAAATTAAAAAACAAAAACTAATATCAGAAAAAGAAATGAATTACCGAAAAAAATGAATGATGGAGAAACAAATGAATGACGGACAAACAAATGACACCTAGCGTTGATATACCTAATTACTCGTATACATAGCCAACCCTTACCTCGTACCATAACAATAAACTAAGGGACATCACGCCACCCAATAACTACTGAGAATTCATCATCTCATGTTTCTAATAGTTAATTCACATAAAATTAACGATGACCAAATCAATTAAGACTTGATGCCTTTTTTTTTTGTTTTTCCGTGCGGAAATCCCCTCGGTGGCATGTCGGACTCGAACCGACTAAAACCGCACGCCGTCTCGGGTACTAATAGCCGGGGAACCAGGTATACCCTAGAAAGGAAGTAAGACTTGATCCCTAAGTATGTCTGAAACCATTAGACTAATGTCATTCGCTAAATAAGCGCATGTGTGAGGTACTGTACACCATGCACACATGCACCCAATTATTAGTATATAAGCCAATATTTCTTAACCAAAAATGTACGGTTGAGAGCCCTCTGCGCTCACCGAAAAGCCCGGGCAAGGTTGTCGAGGCCATCCGAGGCCAACAACCATACATCATACAAAAAAAAAAAAAAAATGTTCTTGAATAAAACAAGCTCATGCTGAGCACACGTGTACGGTCGAAATAAATATATTTTTATATGAACTAGACTGCGTTCATATTTGACTACCTACACAATAATAACAAACTTAAATTCTAAAACTGATCATTGTATGACTTAGTGAAATCATTCAGATACGGCGAGTGTGCATCATAATAGGTCAAATAGATTTCATTTTTCTGATATTCATGTTTTTTTTTAATTTAAAATACCCCTTCTGACTTCTGACCGACAACTATTCATCATCAATGCGACGGACAGTCCCCTGTGAAGGGGATGTTTGGAAGCTGAAGAAACGGCCGTCCACGTAATCCTGGAATGCGAGGGAGTGGCCACACAACGGTATCATTCCCGATATAAAGTCGCTCCTAGAAGCCTGTGAACGCCCCAGGAGGCTTCTGCGCTTCTGGAAGGAGCTTGGCTTGCTCACCTAGTCAACCAATCCTCGACGCATAAAGGACTACTCTGAGTCTAAATGCGGAAACCGAAGCCCACAACCAATACCAATACCCCTTCTGACCCATCGCACTACCAAATTACAATATCAGTAGTGTCATGGGGAATATTTTTTTTCCTTTCTGCACTACTAACCAGTTGTGTCAGTAGTATAACCGAAATCCTTTTTTTTCAGCGATTGTAAAGCGCGTGACCGGGGCTGCAGATCCATCCCTCCTTCACTAGTAGTTCATGTTTTTCTGAAATACTCTTTGAAACTGTTTTGGTGTGTTTCTGTGTCGATACATACCTAAATCTTACTTAATGTAAAATGCAGACAAGACTTTGGAGGCGAAAGGCTTCGATAAAGATGAAAACAGTAATATCGGTAGGTTAAAATGCCCACAAAAATTATTTTTTAATCGACTTCAAAAAACGGTTGCTGAGTTGAGATACTAACTCGGCGGTATCTTCTTGCTCATATGATGCTCATTCAAGCATTTCATATTTTTATTTAAAAAATAACGAGAAAAATTAAAGCTATAACGAGAATTCTCTTCAACACATTAATTTATGTATAAAATGAGACGCTGGCAATATACCAAAATTCTTTTACTGCCCCCCTTGGAGTGGTAACAAATTACAGTAAGCAAAATGAGTGGGTACTATGTTATGAGCTCCTTAAGACACTGGTGTGATTTGTAAAACGTTTAGCACAAAAAATCCAGTCTCGGTTACATCATTAGATGAAAACATTAGTAAAAATAGAAAGGTTCAATTTTGTTATTTCTTAACAAACAAAGTTAAATATAAATAATAGTCCTACAGGAAATAGATACAAAATAAAAAGGCCAAGTATTTATATATTTTTATTGGTTATATATTATATCATTTTTATTGTATTTATTCGTACAAAATTATAGCGGTAACCAGAACAAAATTATTGCCCGTGTTCTATTAAAATAATATACAATACACCAATACTTTTGTTAGCACCATTTTTTTATTTATTTTTTGCTTTTATACAAACATACCATTACCTTATATTACGAATGCATAGTAATAACGAAAAGATCTCGCGGTCTTTTAACCTTCTCTATAATATGTAACTAAAACATTATTTAGTTGATGTCTACAAGTGATTTTACAACTAAATGAACTTAAATTATTCACTGAAGGTAAAGTCCCGGGCTCGGGCTCGGGCGTTACAAGCCGAGGGCCCAGCACGAACAATTTGGTCCAGCTTCAACAACACAGTGTTTATTCATACCTTTGTTAATCATTACACAGTATCTCCATATCAGTACAGTCTTTGGTTAGGACAGAATAGATATTATGACAGATTACATTACTTAAATTTATAATATCACAAGCATAATATATTGAAACACTACAAGTTCAGTCATACGTGATGTGAGGAAGCTGACAACGTGTCGCGTGATCATTCATACGATAGAGATAGCGATACTACTAACACACGAGTAAAGAGTGCAACAGGTGAACCCGCGTTCCGTCCACTCATCCTCTACAAACTTATTGGAGAAAAAAGCTTACACCCAAAAATACAATTTGTTCTATGTTTGAAAAGTTCCTACGTATAAGTACAATGTATATCATCAAGACAGCTATAGTGAGTGCACGTGGCAGAAACGCGGTGTATATATAGGTACTAAAAGCGGTACAACTACGCGGCGAACACAGGATAGCAACGAACCGACAAAGGGTACAATGCACGAAGTACTATGCGAGAGAACGTACAGTAATGTACATCGTTTTGTCCTAATTATATTTTACACGTACTTTTTTAATACTTTCGAGGCATATCTTGCGTCTACTTAAATCCACCTTAAGCTAAAATACACCTTACTTTAAAGGCGTTCTATCGTTCCCGAGGTTATTTACTATAAATATTAGATATACCTAGTGTCCCGGGAGCAAGTAGAACGCGTCTATCGACTAATGTTTAAAGGCACAATAAATGAGCTTATGGCAGCATCATGCCTACATACGTATAATGGACAATAAGTTTAAGACCTGTGGTACAACTAACGCAACGCTACGGTAAGAAAATCAAACACTACAAAAAATGCTTGTAACCTTTGTATGTCTAATTTAATAAAGCTCTAAATAATTAACACCCTCATGATCCTGACAGAATCGACGACCTACAAGCTTATTGTCAATACTCTTACTTAGAAAGAACAAATTAATTTAATTTGCGGACATGCTATCGTTGCAATGTAAGTATTGTGCTACACGATGCAGTCGCGAAAGACCCGAAAACTCTCCACCATTGAAGCTGTTATAATTAAACAGATATAATTACACCAGAACGTCCAGGGACAATGCTTAAAAGCCAGGGAAAAAATATGAATAAATACGCCGGCTTTACCTAATTCTGTTACGCCAAGAGTACATGCAGTCCAGACTGCGCACATAATTACTTATCAGCTTAATAGTAAAAAGCTAAGAGTTAAACAATACAATTATTATAATTAGCCAGCGCAAAAGAATACATTCCAAAAGCTATGTAGCGCTATATTTATTCACTTATAGGGCAAGTGCCAAGATGTCTTAAGTAATCCATCCATAGGTTAAAAAACATAAAATGTGATCGGTGATGAATGTCTTACGGGTTCGGACAGATCTTCTGGTGAGCCATCAGGGATAATCATGAAGATCGGGAAAGCTGACGGCGAAGCCACGAAACCAATGAATGGCATTAGTTTACAAGGAAAGACCGCTGTCCTACTGGTACTTAAAATTCGAAGGCACTTTGTATTTATGTAACAATTTCAATTTTTACGAACCATCATCCAGATTGACTGGGTATGCACAATCTTCAGGGCTTTGAATACTCGGCACCGCATACGATCACGCAGGAGTCCAAAACTGGAGCCAGCAGAGGTAAGTCGCACTTACACCCCTGCACTCCTCGACCGGTATTATTTCGAGGAGGGGTAGTAGTAGAGTACCGCACAGCCCGGCAGCTGCCAGCGCGAGGCGTGGAGCTCGATGAGCTGCAGCAGCGTGCGGCGGATGGAGGGCGCCGCTGCGGAGTTGAGGAAGGCGTCGCGCACGGCCGTCAGCAGGCGCTCCAGCTCGCCCGGCAGGGACGACTCCAGGTCGCGCCCGATATACGTCAGCACGAAGAACAGATTCTCCGTCTGAAATGTAATTAACCTCGTATAACATTTTGCTTCAAAATAGTTCAAATTTGTGATGCACGCATCGCACTGAAACCGATCAAAAGGTTTTTCTAAGCGACAACAAAACATAAAACGGTAGCGTGTGGTGGTGCCTGAAATTTAAGCAATTCCTTCTGGTAATCATATTTCTCTTAATCATATCTCATGTAATGAGAGAACTGCTATTAATATTCTATTTTAGTTCTCCAGAGTCTATTCCAGAATTTAATTTGAAAAAGTTTCGACTTCTTTCAGGTCTCTACCAGTAGAGATCCCTGCCGGTGTATTTCTACCAGTAGAGATATACCGGCAGGGATACAACAGTAGGGATATAACGGCAGGGATATACCGGTAGTTATATACCAATAGGAAGGAATATACCGGTAGGTATGGAAGAGACAAAATTTAAAATGGGGATTGAGCAACTTGACAAATGAAAGTGAAAATTTAATTGCTCATAGTGAGATTTATGGTGCGTAGTTGAGTTTTACTGCTCGCAATTAATATAAAAGTAATTAAGAAAAAGTATTGTGATGAAGACGGATATTTTTATTTTTAATGATTATATTTTACTGCAATAATTGAGTTTGTTTTGCTTTGCTTTCACGCTTTTACTCTTCAGCCGATAATCTTGCAAGTATATGCATTGTCTGGGATTTATAAAACGTTTTTTTATGTTACGGGAGGTGCATATGTTTATCAGCGGTCTGGTTACCATGGTACAGGCTCTGCCAAGTTTGCAATCAGACCGCCGTGTGTGAAATTATTATTGTTATTTTTAAACCGAAAATAAATTACTGTACAAAAAAAATAGTAAAAAAATTCTAAGAAAAGGTTGGAAAATCCATACTTTTATTATAAATGTGAAAGTGAGTATGTTTGTTACGCTTTCCCGCCTAAACCAGTAAACCGATTTAAAAAGTTCTTTCACCAATGGAAAGCTACTTTTTATCGTGATTTATTATCAGCGAGTAACATGGCTACTTTTTACCGCAATCATCGACATACACGCAGAATCGCGGCCTAAAACTAGTTGAACAATTATTGAAAATTATTGAAAAATTGCTTAACGACGAATGTATTGAATGAAGTCGGTGATGTTTTTTGAGTTTACAAGCGAGCTCGCGTAAATATAAAGTTTGGGGCAATGACGTGTAGTGCGCGGTACTGACGTCGCTGGCGGAGGGCACGGGCTGGCGGATGCAGTCCTCGCAGCACTTGCAGATGAGCGTGAGCAGCACGTGGCCGGGCTGCGCCGACGCGCCGCGGCGCTGGATGGCGCGGCGCCGCAACTGGCAGTACATCTCCAGCAGGAACGACAGGAACGCCATCAGCCGCGGCCGCCCGCCGCCCACCAGCGTGCCCAGCAGCTGAATACACCACACGTTTAACCGTCTCGTAGCCATGTCGTCGACAAACAAATGCACAGCTATCGCTAAGGGGCCATCCATAATTTACGTCACACGTTAAAGGAGGGAGGGAGGGGGTATCACCGGAACGTGACGTTCTATGACAACGGGCACGAGGGGGTCAAAAGCTTTGGGACGTCACATGTTAAAATTTAAAATATTTAACTCCGAAATTTATATGTGAATATAAAACTAAAAACTTACGAACTCGAACTAAATTCATTAATGGTTTTTAAATTGCATATTGTGCATGCAATTAAATAATGTGTGACGTCACATCAGGTTATAAAAATGTGATAAGCTGTGACAAAGACGTGTGACGTAATTTATGGATGGCCCCTAATAATATGTACATCTAAAACAGTAGTCGACTTTCAAGGTCTTATATCTATATCTTATAATAAGTCAAAACAATAGAAACACGTTAAAAATATATAAAAAAACAGTTTAGTGACGTGATATTCTACTACTGTCGATCTTTTTTTAAACATTAGTAAACGTTAATATAGTAAAATGTAAAATTTTCAATGTCTTTCATAACACGAGGTTTCTGAAAGGCTTATTAAGATATTGTGAATTACTGAAATATTGAACAAAAGAAAAGACACCAATCCATGATCATTAAATTGAATTGATCATCCGAATTAGATAAACAGACTAACTGACCTGACTTTCCCGTAGAATTTTGTCAGCTGTTTAAATAGACCTGAGAATTAAATCTAAATGCCTAATCATACTATCAAAAATTCATGTCTTCCTACTCTTTGCCCAAATTGATATGAATTCAAAGGGTTTTTCATCATATGGCACAAAAAAAGGTAAATTAGGGTGAGAAAAGTAGATAAGTTGATTTAAAAGAGTAAAGGCAAGCCAAGGACTGAAAGGGCAATAGAATTTCGGCTTGGAAAGATCACGGGGTCAGGGGCACTCGCCAATAACCAGTAACAAATTCTTTTAACTAATTGACAAGTTTTTTTTTAATTTTGTTGCGTTTTTTGCTTTGATCAGCCCCTCAAATTGCTGGCTATGCTATTGAGTAAATTCAGATTCTACTGAACATTTTATTTGAACTGTAGGAAAGTAGTTCTACTGTGTATAATTGGAAATGAGTGCTTGATATACGATAACGATGAAAATTGGATAAAATAAATAATCTGTGATATTTATAGGAAAATACGTGAGAATAATTGTGTATTTATAAATTTTGCTAGCGATAAAGAAATGAGAAATTTAAATAAATATTAATTGTAGAGAAAATTTGTTGAGATTTCGTTATGCCTATCTGGTCGCGCTGCTTTTACTGATAAAATTCATTCACTAGCTATTTTACCAAAACACGTTACTGTACTGCTACTGACACTATTGTACTGGCTCGAAGGACCAAATAGTAGGATTAATTCGACAGATAAAAGATAGCTTTAGATAGTGATCACTAAAAGTGGACACAAACGGTACACGTTTGGTGGCATCCGTATTCTATAAAGGTTAAACGAACCGGTGACGATCGGTATACCTTGTCCCGGTCGTGGTACCACTGCTGGCACGTGTTGAGCAGCGACTCGAGGAAGGTCTCGGTGCTCTCGCGCTCCACGACGGCGATGCAGCGGCGCGCGGCCGGCAGCGCGTAGCGCGGCGACTCCACGGCGCGCGACACCAGGTGCCCCACCGCGTCCATCAGCGTGCGCGCCATCACCGCGTTGGGGTCTGTAACACCACACCCGCCCGCTCAGACCTGACGTATCTCTCGACTGCTACTCCCTAAAGCTACAAACTAGCGAAAGCGGGACCCAAATCTCAATTTCATTTTCTGAATTTAATTTATTTTAACAAAACCAAAGAAGAAAAGTAGTAGTTTGTTTTTGTTTTTTTTTTACTTTACGTAATTTTTTCATTCTTTCAATTTCGGATATCTCCGCAATAAATGGACATAGTAATCTAAAAAATGGAAATTAAAGCTGAAGACCCTCTCTGGCCTTTGAGAGTCTAACTGACCTTCGAGAGCCTTGTCAATACACTCTTGTATTTCTGGGGGGAAATTTCCAAGATCTCCTGCATCGGCTGCAAGTCCCAAGGCTGCCATTCCACTCGCGAGAGCGTCCGCTGAAGTTAAGGACTTGGAGCGCTTCAGCCCAGGCGTGAAAGACTGTGGACGGATGCTCTTGCCGTTGCCATTTGTTAGGGAGGACGGCGGTGATTTCTTTTTCTCAGGAATACTGGCCTGTTGCGGTTGTAGCTTGAAGTGGACTCGAGGTGCCACCTGGAAGTGGTAAAATACAATTTTTTATTGACTAACAAAATAAATAGTTTTATTGACTGATAAAATAAGTAAGTCCTACATTAATCACGATCTTTTTTTATTTACACCATAGATCAATTTATGTAAAATGTTTTTACACGTAGAAATACTTAAAATTAACCTTTTTTCTTCAATTGAAATATTATATAAATAATATAATATAAATAAATAAATATGTTATCCTACTATTTAGCAGTAAACTTCGTTTACTGGTATCAATTACGTATTTTTAAGTAGTTGTACACATCTATCTGTCTATATAAAACAATCATATAATAGTCATGATCACTGCTTTAACGATAAACCACGCACACTTAGGTAAAAAATTATAGAACTGGTGGACTTTTTTAGTTATTTATTTTTGTTTAAACATATATTGGGTTTGCAGTCGATTGAAGAATTAGCTATATATAGGACTGTATATTAACCGGCCCATAGATGCGTGTGTTTAAATTAACCACTGAAGTGCAACTGTCACGCAATGTATTATTAATTTGAGGTTAAAAAATTACCTACACAGTACTTGTTATAATGACAATATGTACAAGTATTCTCATAATGGTAAAATAATGACTTAGATTATAGATAATATCAAGTTTTTTGGTCTAGGTAGATCCATTTCTCGTTTAATTCGAGTAAGCTCGCGAGGGTAATAATAAATGTAAACTTATAATATTAAAAATTTTACTTCTCGTATGACTACTTACATTTTTTTTTTAGTATTTATATGCTATTTCTGTTATTTTATGTGTTGAATTAGTTTAATATTAGTTGTAGCAACAAAATTGCATTGGGTTTCCCGTAAGGATTGTGTGGGATGTGTTATGTGTTTGTGATAAATAAATACATTTTATCCCATCGAAACATGGACTTTTCAAAATCAAATAAAACGACATATTGTGATAAGGGAAATACCAGAGCCACCATAGAGTCATCAGAGATGATACAGATAAGCGGTTGTAGACTTACAATCGAGAAAAAGACAAGATTCTCAAAACACAACCGTTAACCAAACTACCAAAATGTAGCATTTAATGTATGTACGAATGAAAGTTATTACTTCGGTTACTATTTAGTTAGGTATAATGTACTGACTACTGAAGACAGTGGATAATTGTTCAGCTTAATTGTATCAGGAATAATAGTTTCCCGGCTGTTGTTCTAGGCCTGGAAAAACACTATTCAGTCTGAAACACACATATCCCGCGCTTGTAAACATACCTTCTTAGTAAGATGGGTATCCATTTTTTTCGTAATTAATAATAATGATAACCTCTCACATCTTACAAGCGACCGTCTGATTCCAAAGTAAGCAGAGCCTCTACTATGGTAACGATAACCTGACCGCTGATAAACATATATAATTATAAATTTCTAATATATAGACAATAAAATATAGACCAATTAAACAATAGACCGAAAAACCCTAGATAAAAACTGTCGGTCGATAGGGAATAAGCTTAATGTTCTCTAGATGGCGCTAAGTGTATCAAATCGTGAATTTCAACGATATTATAATTTACTGTTAGGTTCGTATCTGAGCGCCTACTCAGATCAACATTAGTGATTTTATGTGGTATTTTATTTTATCCTGGAAGAGCCATTCTTCGTCATAAATGGGTCGATCGGAATGATACCACGGCCTAACAGAAAACTGGCTTTAGGCTGGCTTCGAGTGAATGAGGTTCATCAACAGCCTTTAATAGTACACTGCTGGACATAGACCTCTCCTTAGAAAGGAGATTTGGCCTACTATACCTTTGCTTTGCTATAGGGTTTGTGCCAAGTTTTCCTTCTCTTTGCAGTGCTGTTGTCCTGCGTAGTTTGCCAAACCCTCCCCCTCCCCTGTATCATGGTCGGCTGAAAGGCAGCAACGTACTTGTGACTCTTGAGAGTCGAGTTTCAGGTGTCCATGGTGACAAAGTCAGTTACTATCATGTGACCTGTCTGCTCGTTTGCCCTATACTATAAAACATTGTTTTATTGATCTATGGTACATACATATCGCCCATCCCTATTCAGGATGTAGGATCTGCAAATCAGCAATTTTACATAAGAGCGCGTCAAAGTTTAAAATTGCTTAATTTAAATATATTTACTTTGTTAACATGGCTATTTCAAAAATTATGAACAACAAATGACTGGTGGAAAAAATTGCTTTTTTTTAGGTCAATAGTAAAATAAAAACAAAAGCACGAAAAATGCATATTCGACCTTCTTAATAGGGACAGGCGATATTACAGATACATTACACCCAGACGCAGAACAAATGATCGTGCTCATCACAAAATGATATGTCCTGGGTGGGAATCGAACCCACGACCTCTGACTCAGCAGTCAGGTACACTAACCTCTATACAAATGTGACTTTAAAACAGCAAACATGTTATACCATGATGATTAAAGGTTGAGTACTGACCTGCGGCGACACACTCCCGCTGGAGGCGCTGTTGAGGAGCGAGTGCGGCATGACGGGGCGGTAATGTGGAGGCACTTGCGCGTGGAGCACGGCTGAGCGCGAGTGCTGCAGTCCCACGTGTGTGTAGCCGAGGCTCATCGCCGGCCTACCGTAACAAAAATATTATGTATGAGAAATTGGAAAACGAACGTCTTAGTGCTTCGTATTATAACTCTACACTGTTCGTCTAGTGAAAATAACTTAGTTCAGAATCAATAGAAATAGTTGAAGTGTGGATTTGAAGGATGAATTTTACGGTCTTGCTTACACGACTAAAAATATTGATTAAAGTTTAGTTTTAAAGCAGAATTAAAAAAACATTTTAAAATTCCTTACGAATTTACCTTAAAGTATCCATACCTAGTCACGATCCAATATTTTTTATTATTTTTTATAATTAACAAATATTACTTAAAAAAAACTTTATAATTCTAATCCCAAACCCACTAATTCAAATAAATAAAATTAAGAAACATAATTAGTCTTACATTGCTTTATATACAATTCTATTATTTAACTTTATAAAGAGTCCAATTAAACTACTTTCCTACTGAAACTAGATTTCTTGGATTGTTTTATAAACTTAATTGTCATTACTTTCATATTTTTAGCGTTATATAAGATAAAAATATCCCCCACCCTGAATTAAGAAAAAAATAGAAAAATTCATGAATTTAATATTACAGAAGTCAGGAAGCGTAGAGAAATTATACACAAGATTAAAAAAATATAAAATAAAATAGATTTATTTATACATATATATATATATTCGTTCTCACGACTATTACGATAAGATGCACGAATTGGTACAATACTTCTTCCTGCGAGCCTATTTTCCAAACTAGGGTGGAGTCGGCATCAAGTGTACTACGATACGGCAGAACTTCGATTTTTAACGCTGAGCGTTTGCCATCAGACCTCCACAATCCGAGTACTTGGCGATATCGAAGTTCTGTAGAAAGACTGTTGGTACAATACATACTATTGTAAATAGTAATTTGTAGCTCTCGACAAGCCTAGGCAATTTACGCGGCCTCTCTGCTAGAACACTATCAGAGATAAGTTTCATCACGCAAAGTCAACAATGTTACTGATATAAACTACAATCACATGTGGGACGTCAATGTATAACACAATTTAAAGAAATAAATATATATCTGGGACAAAGTTTGTTACAATTTTTTACGTGGTTTTAGCCTTTTCATAAATGGTCTTTTATCGTTTGTTTCTTTGGATGACTGTATGACTTCACGAATGGCGTAGTATTTTAAGCGGTCATCTCGCCGCTTCTTACTGCGCCGAGTACCTATTGTGGATTCGATTGCCACTTGTGATAAAACTTTTTTTTGATCCACAAATTGGAGTTCTGACTGTGGGTGTTCATTGCGTCCGCTTCATATTTCCACACAGGATTAGTTGTCTTTTTAGTTAGCAATTAGTTGTCTTTTTACAAAATAAAAGAAAAACTAATGTTCAAAATAAAATGAAAAATATATTATAAACACACACACACACACACACGGAAATGGAATACCACATTTCCCATTAATGTGCGTGTGTGCGTTAATAACTCTCCTGACGTATTAATACAACGATAACAAAACATTTCTGGCAATAGTAGCAGTTATCAAAAGTACGCTAATAACTCAATTGAACGGTAAAATTGATCAAGCTGAATTCCATCCTGTACGCAAAGGTAATTAATACATCAACAAAACTGATTAATAAACGCCTTCAGTGTTGATCGACCATCAGACAAGTCTACCACATCAACGTAAACAATACAAAAAACCTTTGAATTTGTGTGTGTACTATATTAAAGCTGTCAGCCCACACCTAGGCATAATGGAGGGGTTTTAATTTACTTTTAATATCAGAGTATCTGTTGTGTATTTAGTGAGGCCAGAGCAGCTCAGGACGGCTCTAAGCCTACTGAAGGCAATAGGCCAAGGACGATCTCCTTTGACATGGTGGACCAGAATGTCGAAGCTTCTGAAGAAGAATTTATCGATCCGACAACCCTTGACAGAACGTCTTGGGGACCTGACACAAGGAGAGTCGACCCTACCTAAAATGAGAAGGAAGAAGTATGTGTCTAGCACTAGGTCATGCTATAGTTCCTTTCAAGCACATGTACATAATAAAAATAACTCCCGAACGAAATTGGAGAAATATTAAAACACAGCAACAGTATTATTGTTTTTTTTTAACTCTATTCAGCTAAGGTCTAGCCCTATGTATGTGAAATTTAAAAGTAAATAAATAAAATAATTTAACTTGATTATTACATCATTATATACGTAGAGAATACAGCTTTGAAAATAATTAAAACGTAACCTGTGATTTAAAAGTCTGCTTTCACTTTCACTAGTCTCAAGATTAAGCATATTAAACCACAACACACGAATTTGCGATTTCATTTGTTAGTTATTTTATTACGGAATAAAAAACTTCGCTAGCTTCGTGATTTTTTGACCCTAAAATAATTTGAATTATTTATAGACGGTGGAGTAAACGAAGTGTTTTTATGGCGTGAGACATATTCAAATAAATTTCGGAAAGATTTCTGAATGTGTAAAAAATATAATTAGGTGTGTATACATAATATAATATCTTATTTTGATTGTGAGATATTTAAATATGAAACGATACACCTACATTAAGTAAAAGGTTAAGGTTGGTAATGAGTTTCATTTCTTTTACGAGGTATTCTATTCTATTCTATTCCTTTTTCTTGGACTAGTGCCCTCGTCTTCCTCTAGCTTTCAGTTTTAAAAATGAAAGCAATACTACTTTTCTTTATTATTCATGCAACTACCTACAATTTTACTTAAAAATGAATCAATGGCCAGCCAGAACTGTTCAGACTACTTCACGAATTCACTGTAGGTATTTAATCTAGGTGTAGTACTGCTTAGTTTATAAACGAAAGCCATGTGAACGTAACATACAATTATAATCACGCATGGTGTAAATAACTCTTGCCGTGTTCAAAGCAAGAATCTACAAACAATTAATGCACATCTAGGCTATAAAAACGCAATAAAAACGGCTCGAAAGCGAAGACTGCCGTAGTCAAGTCACAAAGGTAGATTTTAAACAAATTATTAGGCCTTTACAGACAAAACAAATAACTGATAATCCATACAAATTTTACTACCGAGACAAAACTTACAATCTGAACACCTCACAGACAGATTTGGAATTTTTGGCATAAATTTAACTCGATTTTCTTATTTTACTGTGGTGATTAGAATAATATATTGACGTTTAAATTCATGTGTAAGCTATCAGTTCCTAAAATTATATATTTAAATACACTACTACTGGCATGAAAAGTCTGAAAGAAGTACGTATCTAGAAGTCATTATTTGCTTTACGCTTGGCTGAACTTTACTACGCTACGTAGCGAAGCGAGTAAATGTGTCTTATGGAATAAACCTCAACTAATTTTGTACAGGAATGATTTGTTTGACAGTAGATTAACAGAGTATTATACCGATTTTAATCTGTCTTTCAAAACTACAAAGCTACAAACATGTATAGGTAAATCGCCAACACACCTAATAAGAAATAAAGAGGACACTTACGAAACTGGTTCCTGCTTTAAACTAACTGCAAAATCAATAAAATCATAACAGAACCAAACACTTTATCATTCATAGTGTGTCATACGTACGTGTAGTTAATAATTATGAGCGAGTCATAAATAATAGCGATTATTGTCATATGTCCACCCATTATGGCGAACAAGCGACTCCTGCGCAACGCCCCGCAAATTGTTTCATTACGGTAGGAAATGATGACGCTTAATAATGAACTCATTGTTCGTGTGGCAAACAAATCGAATATTTTGAATAGTAAAACAGTAATATTTGGTTATATCATCCGGGTACCTAAGGATGTGTCGGTATCAGTATAAGGTTGAACGTTCAGTACCTACGAGGTAGATTTTATTCAAGAAATACCTTATTTAAAGGCTCTTAACTAGTCAACGTCACCGGCAACACTTGGATTGTGCAGTAGTCTCATGACATGAATGAGATAAAATAATATTTTTGTGCTAATAATAACTGTCAGCCAAAAAGTCAATCATTGCTTTCTACACGTAACAGAGCACAGTTGGGACAAGCTATGCACCACAAGCAAGCAATTTCCTCTCATGCCAACATATTTGAAAAATTAACATTTGGTTAAAGAAGACAGTCCTGTTTGAAATTTAAGATAGAACATGGCCATAACAAAATGGCTGATTGATTTGCTAAAGAAACTGTTTTAGGTTTAAATAGCGCAATCACCAAGACATGTTACTTAGTAAACATTCCCGCGTGGTCTTGTTAGTAATATATTTACATAAACATCTACATACATACATAACGCGGACCTAATAGTAACAATTCGTCAATCACTATTTATTGTATGTTATTGGATAATTTAATACAAATTAATACAAATAGTTATATCACACACAAGTTTCGAAATAGGGCAGAGAATAATAAAAAGAGACGTATCGAGTACAATGGTTATCATTAGTTAGGGAGCAAGCGTATGCAACGATACCATTTGCGTTTAGCAAGGAATAAAGTTCCTCTGTTTTTAGCACATATTTTGGTCTCCCTCCCAATTGGAGCGTTGCTATCGACAAGTCAAAACAATTAACACAGTATGCTAGAGCTGTTAGCTGTGAGCTATGTCTATTGTAGGTATTTCTCCAATTTAAACATTATATGGCTGCCATCGCAAATGGCATTGACACTACTGTTAATGTTACTAATCAACTGTCAGATGATATCTACGTGCTTAGGGGTAATAAACTAGAAATCCATGGAGTTATTAGTTCATGGCATTTTTAAACGCCGAGCATCTAGAATAAACCATGACAATATGTTTGTGATATTCTGATACATGGGGGATAACGTAAGTTAAGATAAAATAGTTTATTGTTTTAAAATTAATATTTGCTAACTAGAAATACGTAACTTAAATTTTAGTGAAATAGCAGAAACTTCTTTGAAACAACTTGTAATCCTCCTTCCTATGGTATATTCGATTCCCTTATAATAGACTTACATGTGACAGAACACCGTGTGGTTTTAGTTTTATTCC